CAACGCTGCTGGCTAGGCCTAGCCTTACCTCGATTTAGGTTCTGTTAATCACACATAAAAACGGCCGACATGATATTTTCCGTTGCTAGTATTGACACTTGTGAAATATAATATTTCATAGGAATTATTTCAAATTTGTTAAAAAAACTGATTCTGACTGAGATTTTGACACTTAAACAAACATCTCAGCCTTACCGAACGACCGCATTGTGCGAGATGCGAAGTACAAAAAGTAATCTCATTAGAGAGGGCGCTCTTTATTGACTGTATAGAGTATACATAAAAGCGAGAGTATTCCAGTGGATGCGATCTACAACCTCTGAATTTGCCTAGTAACGATGAATTCGTCGAGAAAATGGTAATATTTTATGAGAAATATTCTGTATTTCTCATTTTTTTTATTCTTTTGCGTAAAACTAAAATTCATGCCAATATTTTCCATGATTTATAATAATTGGAGTAATGCAAATGCATATTTTCTAAAAAAAGTCAATTTTTAGTGAAATTTTGCCGGGAATGGGGCTTTAATCTATAAATACACTAAGTAAAAAAATATCCTCGAAATAAGGACTAATGCTATTTTGATCGATGAAGATCTAAATAATGTCTGAAAGATAAGCTGCTCCCCATTACCATGCACACAGCTCCTTTCTAATATCTGTTAAGATTAAATAATGGTATGGAAGCACATTTAACCAGATCTCATGTAAGGGATTTCTTTGAACTTTGGACCCATGCACAATGCAATCTGAAAAGGCTCGCAAAATGACCAATCATCAGTGTCGCTGAAAGCGGTTGGCAATAGCATATAGCGATTTTATGGAAACTACAGCCAGGAATACAAGTCCCACTACAGATGGTTGTAATTTTGTGGGACCAAAATTGTCTATTACTGTTTCCCATAGTAATTGCCTGCACCGAGCAGGCCACCTTTGGAAATTTTCAGACACCTTGACAGAGAGTTTAGGCCCTTGAATGTATCTTACAACCACCACTGCTTAAAACAGTTTTGTTTTTCCAGTTTGTTGCTTGGGAATTTACTGTACTACAGCATTCACCAATTGCATATTTTTGGGAAAAACCCAGAATAATACAGTACTGTACTGTATTACCATATAGTAATCATTAGGACTTTGGCAAATGAGGATTGTAAACAATAATTCTGTGTATACCCAGTGTTTAAGCTGTCATTACGCAAATAAATAGTCAAATCCTAATAAAAGCTGAATTGTGCTAAATATTTTCTTTCAAAATAAGCCAAATAGCTAATGGATTTGAAGCTATCATTGCTTATATTCTTTTGTTTTGGCTTAATTATTTTCATACCAAAATGGCCAGCTTAAAACCCTATGTACAAAAGCTTTATATAATTTTGTAAATGTTTAGAAAAGAACTGGAATATTTTATGGCTGTAAATCATACATTAGCACAAAATGCAATTTATTCAAAATTGTTCTATCAATGAATCTTAAAATATATTGGCAGTTTGGAACATAACCTACTGACAGTATTTAATAAGTGGTCTTGTGTTCCACAAGATGAGACTACAAAAGCTAATTTGCATGATTTCAATTTAAAAAAAAGTTTAAAATAATACAGGTAATTATTTAATAATTTTGATTTAAAATTGTGAATTTAAAAAAAAAACCAAGTAAATAACACCAAGGCTGCATGATTATATTTATTTCTCTTGATACAATTTATGGTTTTTATTTTCAACATTTATCGCAATCCTTGTTAATATTTCATGTACATAATCGATTGAACTGTAAAGCAATTGTATTGAAATGCATACTATAGTATAATTTATCAACACTAAAAAGTCGGCCATTGCAACATGCGTTGTTTTATGAAAATTATACATTTATAAAAGCTACAACACAAATATACTGCATCATGTGTACGGTACTCCATTCTGGCATATCTTGCGCCATAAACGATTGGTAACGCATAATTAATTACGTTTTGTTATACCAACTGCAATCTTAATATAAAACAGCAATAAATAGTGGTAGGATGACAGATTTAAGTGTTTTAGGCAAGACTTTTTAAAGATCGTCATAGGGCGGGTGAAGAAATAAAAATAACATTTTGCTTTATTATTAACAAAATGATTTTCCCAAATTATCTAGGCAGTGGAGAAAAAAGAAAAATACAATTTTATTGATGAATGTAAATCGTGTAGTAATGAAATTGATAAATGCTCTGAATGCATATATGGAAGAAATATGTACAGCATATATATATTATTTTTGAGATTTCAAGGAAGCAAAGGGTGTAATAAAAGTAATTGGTATATTTTTTTTCTGCCAAAATAAAATTTAATTTTTATTCGAAATCATTATTGGCAGTCAGAGTTTGATAAACAAGGTATAAAAAAGTTTTGCCTTATAGTACAGTACAGCAATATTAGGCCCTGTCGGTAATGGTAGAAACTGGCAGAAGGGGAGGTATTCCCTTCACTCGTTAATTTTGCCTATGAAATATTCATTCCTTCCATATTTTATTGTGGCTCCCTTCCCCTTCCTCATTCCCCATAGTATAAAAACAGTACCATCCAGCAATCACGACATTTGTAGCTATCACATTATCTCTTATATCCAACAAACACAAAAGTTGCTACTAATTAAATATGGATGACATTTCAAATGGTTTGCCGGTATAACACAGCTATAAAAACTTATCTACTGTACAATTTATGCAAGTCAACACATGTTGATACCAGGCTCCAAGCTTCTAAAACACTCCTGTCATATCTGATGTAACACCTAGACAGAATTCACCTGCAAAATATTTTCAAATCGCAAACCTTTAAACTAGAAGCTAATGGAAGAATTTTAAAAGTAGAAAGGAAGACAAATTATTTTAAATTTAAAAATTAATTGTAAAACTCATTTCAACAATTATTAATTAAAATTCACTTTCATAAAACTTTTTGCCTGCAATATTCAATATTAATAATGTACAGTACAATCAACTCTAAAGTTGCATACATTACACCATGGATGCATAAGTTGTTTACAAGTACAAATTGTACACAAGAGAGAGCCAAAAAGCAGGATTAAGCATATTATTAGGAAGCCACAAATATACATATCACATGACAAGCCCTAACTTGGAACCAACGAGAAAAGTATTATTGCCACCCAAGGTATGGATATGGAAGAGGGAAGGATACAAACGGAAGTAGATAGAGCCAAGCGGCCTATCCAACACATAAAGCATACCGAATACCAAAGCATAAGCAATTTAATCAACATTTAAACAATATAAATTATTTTTTTCCTTATGCAAAAATTATTTATTGTTTATACAGTACTACAATTACTTTCAGTATCTACGTTCAGTTTTTATTGGTACAGTTACATAAAAACATTGAGAGAAAACACATTAAAAGTACATTAAAAAGAATAGGATTTTTAAAAAGGGCTTATATTTGAGGTGTTGTCACAAAAAAAGCTTGTGGAAACAATGCTACCAAACATGAAAAATGAGTTATTGATATGGGGCTTGCCATGCCAAGACAGCGACAATGACCAAAAGAAGAAAAATTAACTTTTTAACATATGTATTCATATTCCCCAAATTATAAGCTTTAAAATGATAGGTCTTCTGGAATTAACATATTATTGCCAAGGTTATGAGTAAATGTATTATGGCCTCTCTGTACTGAAGTATACAATATACAGTACTACCACACTTTATGCTAATTAAATTATAAGGTTTATGCTGGTCTTTGAATCAAGTTCATAGGTTGAGTACAACTGGAGAAATATTATTCTAAAATTCGGATGTCAGAACATACATCAATCAATCACCGAATCAATGCTTTAGAGAGAATAGTCTCTAAAGAAAATCAAACAATAAATTTCTCATTGGTTTTCAATCAATTCTGAAAACAGCATTGCAAAATGTGTCTTAAACTCTCTAGTCGATGTAAATCAAATCAGAGCATTTACTTTCAGAAAATATTCATATTTAACTTATCAAAACACTGAAACCCAATTTAAAATACAACCTTTATACACATATCCTTGAATGTATAAAATTGATCTGGCATACAACACAACTCTTTTTGCCTTAAAATCTCGTGTTCATAGTAAGTGTTTGTCTATGTGTGTATTTACAAGAGGAAATGAAAAATGCCTTAATAAAAATCCAGCATTTGATTTAGATGGCAATCGCAGAGCAATACACTTTCAAAACATTCTTTACATTGAGCCTTCTGCAGCCAATCAGAAGGCTCAGTCTGTGCCTTAGCAACTGGTTTAATGAACAATAAAATATTGAAATATCTGATCGATCTCCAACAATAGGTGCACAACCACTGAGCTAAATTAACTCATAATTTGCATATTATGGGTTTACTTATCCATGAAGTTTATTATTAACATTTTTCTACTTTAGATGAATCTCACTTATTCAGTGGCATGTCTAGGGAAAAACACAGGGAGGGGTACACACCCTCACCAACCCCACTTTGGAAATGTTCAAAGAAGAAGAAATACAATCAAGGAGTTAAAAATCACCACATATTGTTAGCTAGTTACCCCTCACTTAATACATCAAGCCCCCACAGAACTTTTGAACCCCACCCCCCAATTTCAAGACCCTTATATACACCACTACACTTATTTAGTACAAGTCAACATGTGAATAAATTTGGAGTTTCCCTTATTATAAAATAATAATAATAATAATAATAACAATGATAATAATAATAAGAATTAACATTTGAAAATATAGAAATTGATTTTCAAAACAACTTTTGCAATTTTTACTAATACATTTACAATTTAAATACAGATAGCATATTTTCACATAATTACATTATACTTAACACACAATAAGGTAGAGTTTATGCTACACATTTTTCATTATCATGCGCATTAAAAATGTGACTCTCCATCTCCATCATCATCATCATCTCATTATAGTATATATTTGGTGTTTTAATGTCATTTAATGCCAAGAAAAGATCTAAAAAAAGTGGGCTGAACAGGCCAACCAAAGAGAATTTATTCTCTGTAGGCACAGCCCCTATTACTGATAATATTTTAAAATTGAAATCGGAAAATCTAATTTTGAGGACGAAATCATTGTCAACATAAAAAAATTGTTTGTTTGCCCTCCTCCACTCCCGCCCCTAACTCACTGAAAAAAAAATAGGGACGGAAAAACAAAAAAACTTTGTTCTTTGCAAATTAAAAAAAATGTGAGTGAATTTATCTTATTTTTTTGCCAGATGCCCTACAAATTAGTCTAAAGTTGTTGTCTGATGTAAGATATTGCCATTCTAGGCCCATGTGGGTTATTTTTATTCCATCTGAGTATTTAAAAAAAATAAAAATAAAAAAACTTTTCCCATCCTCCCTTATTATTTTTTAAAAAAGAAGGGCAAACAAACAATTTATTTTATTTGGCTCCATCATCCCCTTCATCTTGTCACTTAATCACCATCATCACTATTATCATCCTAATTTATATTTTCAGTCATCATTACGATCACCTCATTCTTATCCACTACAGTTTTTTCATAATCAATAAAGGTATAATCGCATCATCGTTACCATCATCTGAAATCATCCTTTTTTAATGTACATGGAGCACTACGATTAATAACAGCTGCATCTATTATGAAGATTCTTACTCCCTCGGTCAAACGGCCCATTCCCCAAAGCCCCGCCCCTTGGATATTGTTGCTAAGGACCCACCAAACGACAGTGTAATAATGCTGCGTTCATTAGAACTTCAGAAGTCGGGTGTTTCCCAGTTCACAACCTGTGAGACGCGTTCATCTCATTGGTGAACTTGTAAACACAAGCTGTGAACTCGGAGTAGATTTTCTTCCTCGATTTGCGCAAGTAGTGTGGAAAAATGGCAGATGTAACACAAACGAGCAGGTCTTTATTGTAATTTGTTTAAGTAATATTATTTCAGATAAAGGAAGAGCGTTTTTTGTATGTTTTTATTTGCAACCTCATGATTTGCACTGTATAAACATTCTGAATGCACCTTACGGAGTCGTAATTCAAGTGCTTTTTTTTACATAGGCTATGCCTAGGCCTATCAACGTATTATCGCCCACACACAATAGACACACGATGAGCACTATGATTTTAGCGTTTGTCAAATGAATGCACTCTTCCTGTGTTCTCGCATGTTACAAGTTGTGAAATCAGTTTTCACAAGTTTTAATGAACGCAGCATTACATACGCAAAATCTTGCGTACTTATGTCGCACAACACGTTCATAGGGCAAGCGTGTATTCCAGGCTCTGATTGGTCAGTTAAGTTTGATTGACACTCAAGAAAGGTCTATTGCAACATGAAAGCACACATGCTAAGTAAATGGGAAATCAAACCAAAAACAGAAAATTAAAAAAAAAATACTACACCCAGCACCACACCCTGAAAAACATACAACTTTCTTTGAATATTAAGTGCTTTGGCATTTTGAAGCTTTTTAAATCATGTTTGCACAAGTACATTTTAGCACTGCCCCCTCAGTTTGGAGGCCTGGGAATATGCCCTGTTATGCAACTCTGCTTCTGTATATTGTCATGTTTTGACATTCCTCTTTCCTTTTTCTTCATGCCTCCCACTTACCATACTGAGATTCACTAAAGATTATTTGGGCTTGCGCCCCACTCACACATGAAAATGTTAAAAGCAAAAATAATATGCCTACGTAGTTAAAAATCACCTCGTATCACCTTATTTCGCAAGCTAGCTAGCATCCCTCACTTAATCACCGAGGCCCCACTTCGTCGTACACCCATCAGTCCCCGCATTTCAAGAATCCTAAATACGCCCACTGGCCTGCAGCAATGTGCTACTACGTTCTGTGCGTCCTATCATTATCTACGGAGCAGCTATCTTAAACATGTTGCTGTGCTGCCTGCAGTAATCTATTAACTGTACTGTATATTTATATTTAAAATAAAGAAACACGGAAAAATCAGGCCAACCAACAGCAGGTTCTGTTCAAATCACAGACAACATATAAACTTGAATAAACATACAATGTACATAATTAAATAAACATACATAAATAGTAATAATAAAGATGGTATTATAATTAATAATAAATATCATCATCATTTACTATTAATTATTATACTACCATGTTATACTTCATAAATACAGTGCACAACTCTAAATCTTTCAATTATACCTTTAAATAGAAAAATTAATATTTATTTGTTTATGCACAGAAATGGTGACACTAGAAAACACAATGAACATTGCAAAAAAAAAAATGTAAAATTTTAAAAAGCATGACCGGACTTGTAAACCCAGTAAATGCATATTACAAACACCTTTTGAGGCTAATTTCAGCACTTCAGGAGTTTATTTTCTATTACAACTATCGAAGCGAGGCGCTGCGAGATAGTCACAAAACCGTCGGAGGATGAATCCATCTCTTTTCTCTGTGAGCACTAACAATGTAACACTGATTGTCGGTGATTGATTGTCATTAAATATGATCTGCTGTGCGCGCCTCTTTGCGTTAGAACCGCATCGGTTGACGACCGGCACACAGTGCACCAAACATAGCAGACTGGATTACATATAAACTTTTCCATTAATAAAGGTAGTATACATGAAGCTCTGGACACACAGTCAAGTATTCTGATCTGATATGTCCATATATGGGTGTATATAGCATCATGATACCCATATATGGGTATACTTATAGGATAGTGTGGGTAGACTTTTAGCAATACTGACTACAGTATGGTGGTACTGTATGTACTGGCAACACTTACACCTTTAATTCTTGGACCAGCTGTAATAAAAACCAGTTTCAATGTCATCTAATGGTAGATGGCGCTACATACATTTACAGATTTAATAGCAAACGCGTCCGTCACAGGAATGTGTCTCTGTTTTTCTCAATGTAACTCTGCATGGCTTTTAATCCTTCCGAAGACGCCCAGCATTCAGCCAGCTTAGAGCACTCATTTTCATTAGCGTTCTCCATCTTGGCACGGCTGTTATTTCTGATAAGGGCTTTGGACATTTCCATTGCCTAATCAAATCAAAAGAAATAATAACATTCAATCCTGTTTTCTTATGATGTTTTTGGACCAGGTATTTCTGTCCTCTACATTCCATGATTGATATCTTTAAACTTTGTCTAAAACCGCATGTCAAAAACAAGGGTCCCAAGTCTCCCGGAAAATGGGACGGCCTCCTGCACTCACGCAAGCAAGAATCTCCCGGAAAGTAACACATCTTCTACAAATTTTTACTAACTTTATTATCAATTTTCTGACAGAAGTCAGTGCCGATGGATATTACCATGTACAGCAAAAAAAAATAAAATAATATTAAGAAAGCTCATTTAACGAGATCTCCCGGAAAAGATTTCTTCCAACTTTGGACTTCTGCAAAAAATTTGCATTAAAGAATTACATCATTTTTATATACATTTCATATTAATAGACACGTAATTAAACTTTTATATTCAATGTAATTTGCGTTTTCTAAAGCGTTTCAGCAAGGTTGAACGTAAAATTACTGTCAAAAGCATAACAATTTTTGCGCTTAACCTACAAAACGTACACATGAACGTGCTGAATATGAAGAAAACAAAATTAGGCCTAATCTGCAAAGATGCAACCAAGGCCAAAGGTGGAAACTACTGGAGCACAGCATACTGCCTTATGTGGAATATCTGTGTGTATATGGAGAGAGTGATGCTAACCCAAGTATGGCTCATGCCATACTTGGGTTTTTCTGGTTTCATTAATTTTCCTTCTGTTTTTATTACTTTCACGAGGGGTGCCATGAGCATTTTATTTTAAACGGATACTGGCGCTTTATAAACTTTCATTACTATTATTATTATTACACCAAATAGTAGAAAATATAATTATATTATATTAAATAAATAATTTGGCATACCTTGCTGGAATTGGCAGCAATACTCTGGACTCTAGGTATCACTTCTTGCATAAGGCTTGTAGGCCAGAATACATGAGACACGAGGCCACAGGCATAGGCTTCTAACGCTGTCAGCTTACGTCCTCCAATCAGCATTTCATTGGCCTACAGTAAAAACAGTGCATATTGTTGAAATGTTTAACTTAGTCAACTTGGGAACAGTTTAAATGAGATAAAATTTTCAATATATAAAAACTGGGAGGGGGAATGGGTGATTATGCCCATTAAAGGCAGGTTAACAATTAGTACAGTTTATTCACAAACAAAACAAAAAAAAGACAGAAAGATCAAACAACAGAGAAATGGTACAAATGACAATAAAACTGAATTAGGAATAATTTAAAAAGTGTAAAAAAACACTTAATTTCAATTGTAGTTCTCAAGACAAAAAGAAAAAGCAGAAAATTGCACTAAAAAGTTTTTAAAAATTAAAAAACTCAAATGCAACAGATTCATAAATCCAAATAAATGGCATCAAAATAGACATTAAACAAAAAATTCTTTTTTGTAATTGTAATTAGTTAAACTTATAAAAAAAAATCTTTAACAAACATTTAGAATTAGTATAAAAGAAAATTTCAATGACATTGACCTACCAGGGCATGTCCCATAATTGCTGGAAATGTCACGGAAGAGGAGCCCTCCGGTACTTGCGCTAGGCTACCATACGGCGTGGAGAAGATGGCCTTATCAGAGGCATATACGATGTCGCATAGGGGCAGTATTGCTGCGCCTAAGCCAGTCGCTGCACCGTTCACCGCGGCTATGATTATCTTTGGGAAGTTAATCAGTGTGTCGATGAATATCCTGATGGTGAAATTGAAAATAGTCACCTAAGCTAAATAGTCAGAATGATATACAAAAATAATCAATTTGATTTTAGTTTTAGGGAGGTTGGACAACTGTCTGTGTCAATTAATAATATGATGGCAATATCTTATGCATTACATAAATGAAATAGAGCGTAATTCCATTTAGTGCATACCTCTGCCATGTACCTGGGTAACAAACAATACACAGGCCGTGTATGTGCGATTCCAATATTTTCTTTTATGCTTGACGAAGTTCTAGGAAAAAATTTGAATTTTCATATCCTTGCACTTGTACTTTGACCCTTTAATTTGCAAACTCTTAGATTATTATCAATTAAATTTTATGATGATCTATTCCTTAGTTTTACGCAATCTTGCGAACACAGACAGAGAGGAAGACTTAATAAATATGTAACCTCCTTGGCGGAGTTAAATATGAGGAGAACTGCAAACCTTAATGCCTCTGCCATTTCTTTGCTTCTTTTTCTTCGGATTTCATAAGAGCGATGAGCAAGGTACCGTAAATCCAAACCTGAACAAAAGATATTGCCTGCTCCATTAAGGAGGACAACATGAGTACTTTTGTCCTTTTTTGAGTTCGTTAAGATTGTTGTTAACTCATTGAATACCTATAACAGTAAATGAAATGATAAATAGCCATTAACAGTAAATAAGACCTAAGAATTTTTGCTTCCTGGGTACGCCCTGGCTTAAGCTGCATTTATACTCGACACGATAAAAATGCGCTCAGTGTTTTGAATTTAAACGATGCGATATGTCGTTGTCGTGTCGTTATCTTGTCTAGTGTAAATTTAGCTTTACACTGTTGATGGGCTGTGAAATGATTTGTGCTATGTTTAAACCCTAGGTGTGAGTATTTCATGGCTAGTAAATACTTAATAAAAATACATTAAAAATATGTATATATTGTGGCCACTTTTTATGATCAATTATGCTAACAATAAGTCACCTATCAAATAAAAACATAAAAAAATAATACTAAGTATTATTTATTATTATTTAGTAAAATTACTTTAGATCGACGTTCTGCAAACTATGGGCCGCGGCCCAAATTTGGAGGACCGAGGAGTTGATTGAGATATTGAAAAAAAAAAACAACAAAGACAAGTTTCAACATGGAGAAAATTGTTTTAATAAAGCCGTTTCATTGTTCAGCGAATTTTCAGCTTGTACACTCTGCTAAAGTGCCAGATGATGTGTGCTGTTTGAGTAAGCAGTTTTTAATCTTACCGCAAACCAAACTAAATTGATACACGCGGTTAAGGTCTTTGGATGCGATACATGCTGCTGGATTGCTATGTGATATCCCCTTATGCATTGCTATGCATACTGTAAAACTTCAAATTGAAGCCCTGGGCTTCTTCTTTTCTTTATCACCTAAACTAAAGTAACTGTATAAACCAAGCTTGTTTTTAATTTATTTTGTTTTCTGAAATTCATGTACAGTGTTTGTACTGTATTATTTCGAAAAAAGCCTAAGCTATCTTGAAACAAAGCCCATAGGCTTCATTTCGAGATTAACAACACACAGACACATGGGTTGATCAACAATTTGTCAAAGGGGTGGGGGGGGGAGGAAAACACAAGTGTACGGTGTTCTTTAATAAAATACAATTTAATTTGTATAGGCCTAACAATAACATTTTGTCACTGATGAACTGATAATTATGTCAAACTATTATATGTACATGGAGGTTTCATGATCAAAACTTCTTGGTTTTGGTATGTTGGTCCCTGGCAAGGCTGGGCTGCTGGAATGCTGCTTTAGATTATGTTTTTATGTTCCTATTTCCCACTTGATTTGAAGATTTGGAAGAAGGAGAGGGAGGGAAAGAGAGGGAGGTGTTTGGTTCCAGTAAAATTATGCTAAAGCAGCCCCCAATTTGTGATTTCATTTATATTTGTACTGCACATAGTAGACATTTTGTGTTTACATTACCTTTGGATTAAGTGAGTTTCTAACAGTTGAGCTTGTGAAGAACCAGACCTGGGTGTAGCCAGCATATTTCCGCACCACTATCTCTTTGAACTTGTACAAAAAGTCATGTCTCAAACTGGTTCGCCTGTATATTAACATACATGCATTATACAGGATAAACACTATCATTTACTGTATGTCTAGCCTTATCAACTTTGTTACGTGTTACACAAGAATGAGGTATGTTGTTAATGTATCTATTGTAGATGAAAATAAAACCTCATTAAGAAAATGTTTGTGAATCAAGTATTTCTATTAAAATTTTGTGTTGTATTGTTTTGTTCACTACAGTATACTGTAGCACTAAGAAAAGACTTTTTTTATACTCAGTTTAGCAAATCCACCTCCCTCCAATAGTGATGATTTTGAATTTAAAAAAAAACAAATATATTTTTGTCCACCACCATTTCTGCCACCAAGAAAAAATGGAAATTTCAGAAAAAAATTAAAGATTTTCTTTATTTTTATTATGCCCACTGCTGCCTTGAATTTTCCAAAAATAAGATATGTATATTTCTTCCTAATTACATAAAATAAAATTTTATTTTTATTCTCTTCTCCGTCTGGATATGTTTGACAAAACTATTTGCTAAATAAAGAAAACAAAATTTTATTTAAATTTTTTTTTCCACCCTTCTCTGACGATCTTAAAAAAAAATATTAGTTTGCGAAACAAGGTATGACAAAAGTCTCACCTAAGCAATAGCTTTGTGCGTATTCTTATTTGAGGCATGTTGTGGCAAAATGGCTAAGTTGTAACAAAAATTAAAATTCAGGTTATTGGTATTTTCAGATACCTGAGTATGTGATCTTTAAAATGAGGGGTCATTCATTGAAATTGGACATTTCAAGCCTAAGTTACTGGAAAGTGAACGTACAGTACTTTTAGAATCAAGATAAACATGATTTTGAGTAATTGCCTTTCAAAGTTATTTGTGCATACACTAGAATGAACTATCAAAATAACATTAAATAAACAATTTCTTGACCACTTCAAGAACTAATACTTTGGTACATGATTAATAAGACATTAATCTGTTGATTTATAATGAAAAACAAATTTGGATTTTTAGGCAATTTTTTGAGCTCCCATATTTTATAGCTCATTTACTCAATACAGGCCTGTGCGACAACTTAACCATTTCGCCATGACATGCCTCATTTAAAACAGGCATTTATGATGTTGAAAACATCCTGGAATGTCTCCGAAATGTCTATGCACTTTTAAAAATATTTTCCACTACGACAAACAGCTGAATAAGAATACTGTATGTGCAAATGATCATCAACATATCTACATATGTTAAGTAGAAATTATAATAACAATAATAAAATTAACAATACTAATTACATAAAAGGTCATCTGTGTTATAACAATAACAAAATGATTAGTAAATTCTGCAAATATTTCTTCCTAATTACATAAAATAAAATTTTATTTTTATTCTCTTCTCCGTCTGGATATGTTTGACAAAACTATTTGCTAAATAAAGAAAACAAAATTTTATTTAAATTTTTTTTTCCACCCTTCTCTGACGATCTTAAAAAAAAATATTAGTTTGCGAAACAAGGTATGACAAAAGTCTCACCTAAGCAATAGCTTTGTGCGTATTCTTATTTGAGGCATGTTGTGGCAAAATGGCTAAGTTGTAACCAAAATTAAAATTCAGGTTATTGGTATTTTCAGATACCTGAGTATGTGATCTTTAAAATGAGGGGTCATTCATTGAAATTGGACATTCCAAGCCTAAGTTACTGGAAAGTGAACGTACAGTACTTTTAGAATCAAGATAAACATGATTTTGAGTAATTGCCTTTCAAAGTTATTTGTGCATACACTAGAATGAACTATCAAAATAACATTAAATAAACAATTTCTTGACCACTTCAAGAACTAATACTTTGGTACATGATTAATAAGACATTAATCTGTTGATTTATAATGAAAAACAAATTTGGATTTTTAGGCAATTTTTTGAGCTCCCATATTTTATAGCTCATTTACTCAATACAGGCCTGTGCGACAACTTAACCATTTCGCCATGACATGCCTCATTTAAAACAGGCATTTATGATGTTGAAAACATCCTGGAATGTCTCCGAAATGTCTATGCACTTTTAAAAATATTTTCCACTACGACAAAGAGCTGAATAAGAATACTGTATGTGCAAATGATCATCAACAGCCAACTCTACATATGAATAAGTAGAAATTATAATAACAATAATAAAATTAACAATACTAATTACATAAAAGGTCATCTGTGTTATAACAATAACAAAATGATTAGTAAATTCTGCAAATTATACGTTAAGCATTTCAAATTTTATTTTCAGCTCCGATGAGGAGATATAGAAACACTGGCTGATTGAATAATAGATCTTTTTTAGATATATTGCCTCTATTATACTGCCCTCATGAGGCTAATTGATTAATACAGTCAAAATCGCCTAAGTCGAATGTGACCAAGTCGAAGAAATTGTCAAAGTCGAAATTATTTTCCCGTCACTTCATCTTCTCTATATTTACAATGGTTAACACGTGTTCAAATATTAGAGACCTTAACCGAGTAAATATTGGTTTGGTCTTTGGGATTTTCCAACTGAATTTATCGCATTTAAAATGTGTTCGCTTGATGGCCATGCAAAAATAAGTTATTGATTGTTACGGTTGTTTATCAAATATAAATATGATTAAGCTTTAATTTAAGTATTGACTGATTACTCTTTATAATGATTATGTATTCAAAAGAATGGCATAGAAGTAGTTAACAAAACATTTATATATACTGTAATAATTGAAGAGTTAATGTAATGTATTGCTACTCTGAAGAATACTGCTTTCAAGGTAAGTTTTGGTAGCCTAGGCCTTTAGTTCTACAGTTCTAGGCCTAGGCCAAATGTACGGTCAACATTGTGCGTGTACCGTCAGTGCGCAAGTCAAGTTGCTATTGTGATATAACTCATGACTTTGCTTTAGTCAAATTTAATCTAAGTCAGACTTTATTTCGTGGCACTTTAGATTCGACTTAGGCGAGTTTGACTGTAGTTGATTAATACTGTAGAACTTTTTTAGATCTACTGCCTCTATTATACTGCCCTCATGAGGCTGATTAATTAATAGTTGATTGAATAATAGATCTTTTTAGGTCTACTGCCTCTGTTATACTGCCCTCATAAGGAGCTCTAGAAACACTTGGCTGATTGATTAATAAGACTTTAGCTCTACTGCCTCTATTATACTGCCCTCATCGGAGCTTTCGAGATTACAAGAACTTGTTTAAGTTAAATTATTTGATACTGGCTGTGTACTGTAGTTTGAAATACAAAAAACTAAACTCACCTATCCTTTTGATCTTCAGTAGGTTCTTTATCATTTTCAAGATGCATATGCAATCTCTTTACCCCATTGAACTGGGAACGCATTGACGGGCTTGTTATATCGTGGAGTTTCACAACTGGGGAAAGCTGTTTAATAAAAGTTTTTGAGAATGGCAAACTTGTTGTTGTTTGAATGATACTTACTGGATTCTGAACACCTCTGTAGTATTTTTCTAAAGAAAAATAAATATGCACTAGTTAGAGCAGTTCAATATTATATAAATCAAAATAAACATTTACTGTATAGTACCATTTTTACATGTTTAAGGTGAGAACAAACCAGCATTAATTCTGGAACGATACCGGATACATTTGACCTTGAGTGACACTGGCGGTAAACACAGACTCAAATTCCGCCTTGATTAGTGTTTAGATTATGATCGCCACATTCCTTGCGCAGGTCAAGTTGAGATATATATATATTAATTTTTCAGCAAACGTGTGGATCTTGCAAGTTACAGTTACCTTGCTAGAATTCTATGTTCTTTGAAGAGATGTAGCAAATCAGCCATAGCCTCTAATATGCCAATGAACGAAGCAAAGCCTTGTTGACTGCTGTCAAGAACGCTTTACTAGCAAAATTCTAAATAAATAATAATATTTATAAATTTATATTTTAGGCCAACTGCAATGTGTAAACAAATGTAAAATTGTTAAATAAAAGTAAACAAATTGATGAAAATTGTTTGTTTTCTTCATTTTGTGTAATACTTTCATGTTGCACAGTGCGTCGTAAGGCGTCACAGCGTGTCGCTACAGGAGGCGATCACTTCACGAGAAAAAATCTCCCTATTTTTTGGTTTTCAAACTTGGGATCTCTGGCTGCAGTGGACCTTTCCGTTAAGGCCCGCCAATTGGATATTTTGCACGGTCCCACGAAATGACAGTGTAAAAACTTAACATGTGCGTTTGTGGGGCGTGTGTTTGATAGCTCAGTTGTCAAGTTTCACTGACACTCTTGAAAGGTCTAATAAGCCGGGCTCTCGCTGCATCGTTCCGACCGTCGCACGACGAATCAAACTCCGCTCCCTGTGAGTGATAAACAATGCAACGCCGTCTGCTGATTGTCGATAGCAGTCTGAACTTATCTTCATTAAAAACGATCTGTTGCACACGCGTCATCGCGTTGCATTCTTCATAGAATCACGTCGGCCGACGGCCGTCATGTGCAGAGAGTGCCCGGCTTTAAATCAGCAGTTTTGTTGTCAAGTCTTCAAGACAGCGAAAAACTCTAATTTTTAGTAAAAACTGTCCTGGTAGCTCACCGTCACCAGCATGGGCTAGGCAGCTGGTAGCGGCAGGCAGGCACCAGGTACACTGGCGTAATTGTGGACAGTAACTGTGTTGTACAACGCTAAATGTGCAGTGCACATCAAACCTGGATTGTTTGGCAACCCGAGGCATACTTTTTGCAATTTACACTAACCACAACTCCAGAGAATTTTGTCCAGGTAAAGTATTAGAAATCTTGGACATATATTCAGAGTTTTGCAAAAGGGGTATTAATCACAAAGTAATTTATTGCAAGGTAGTAGTAACATCCTCAAAATCAAAGAAAAATCTCAACGTACCACTACTACCATGTAAACTTAATAATCTATGGCGTTTCCTGGGCGTGGCTTCCGAATCAGCACCTTGTGAATTTGTAAAATAATTGTTTGATACAGAAAAAGAACGATTGAGAGACCGTTTCACATTTGTACAGATATCCGCTACAGAGTTTGGAGAGCTGACATCCGTTGTCGTGTCTCTCCCATATTCCACGTCAGACGACGAGCGTGGCGAGTCCCTTTGTTTTTGTGAGTAGTCACACCCATTGGTTACAGGCATATTCACTGACGAAGAATTACATTTCTCTTGTTGTACTCTCCTTTTTGTTCTATGATTTAAACCATTATTATTATGTTTCTCCGTTCTCGGTTTGATACCTCTACTAGCAAATTTCTTTTCTGCCATACTTTTTTCTTTTGTTGCATTCTTTTGGCTTCCTTTGGCATCGTATAATCGTTCATTAAACTCATCCACACGTTGGAGACAGTCGCTAAGGTTACTCAATGGTTCCCAAGTATCATCATCACTAGTAAAATCTTTCCACCTCACCAAGTACTGAATTTTTCCATATTTATTTCTTCTTCTGTTTAGTACTTTTTCTACCTGTTGGAAAAAAAAAGTATGAACATAAAAATCATACCAAAGTATGTTCTCAAGTTAAAATCAAATCAAATTTTATGTACAATTTCAACAAATAAATAAAACAGACAATGTTTAATAGAGTGGAGTTGTAGCTTGGTGGTTTAGGCGAGACTTTTTTCATTCCTTGCTTCGCAAATTCAATTCTTTAAAGATCATCAGAGGAGGGGGCAGAAAAATTTTGCTTTCTTATTTAGCAAATATTTTTGCCAAAAACATATAGACGGAGGAGAAAATAAAAATAAAATTGTATCATGGTGAATGTAAACAGTGTAGTAATGGGATGGTTAAATGCTTTAAATTTATATACTGTATTTAGGTAGAAATATAAATATCTTTATCTTTGAAGATTCAAGGCAGCGGAGGGCTTTTTTTCTGAAAATTATATTTTTTGTCGCGGCGCTAATTTGTTATTATTATTTTTATTCAAAATCATCAATATGTGCATGCGCAGGTTCGCTAAACATGCTATAAAAAAAACTCTCGCCCTAAAGATGCTTGCCTTCATTTTGCCAACATTTTCTCAACTATCATCTGGTGCATCAATCTAATGCACAGTATGTTTAAAGAAGGCCTATGTTTATGGACTGACACAGGCCTATGCCACAAGGTCATCTAGCCTAGGCCCCCACCTTGCTTGGCCAACTCGCTTACCCATCTACTATTGTACTTAGTTTTTAGTCTGTTCTCTATGGACACTCCATTATTTATATTGCTTTTCTAGGAAACTATACACTGAATTACAAACAAAACCGCAAAAAAAGTATATTCAGTCAGTCTTGACGTATGCCCAGTTAACAACTTGGAATATTTCGAAAGAAAAAAATGCCTCACACATTCGTCAGTTTTTCTTCCAAGATATCTCAGGGAACACTGTGAAATCTCGAAAAGTTTTTACATGGATATACTTTCACACTCAACTAAACCTGGCTACAACTAGTTACATTTGGAAAAATGTGTACGTGTTAATTGGCTGTACAGTATGTTTATGCAGAGCATCGATCTTGCCTAGTTTTTGTTTGTGTTATGAAAGGAACTGCCACCTACAGTATATAAGTAGAAAGTCATTAATTTTACAAAATTGACAATCCTTCGCCAATGTGCCTATTGAATAATGAAAAAAATAATGTATAAATATTAATTACATAGAAGAGTTTCACATCAAGAAGAAATATATTAGGCCCCAGGAAGATACGACAGTTCTTTCTTCATATCCTTGCTTGTCAATGTATAGAGGTGCCAAATGTTTACACTTCAGTTTTCATCACAACCTGATAATTAATTTTCATAACTAACTATACCAAGAAAGATTTTTATGATTGAATTTTGATAATAAATTAATAAGTTCAGAAAATTGAAGACAAACAGCGCATTACAGACTAACAAATTTTATTTTACTATCATTTGACATATGTACCAATAGGACAAAGATATGATCTTATATACACATGATGAACAAAAGGGGATTGACGCTCTACTGCAACATAAGCATACAAGCGTCATCTGGTAGCATTATAAATTATGTTCATCTACACTACGGTATATTCTTATAATGAATTTTTTCTTGAATATTCAGGTCATGTTTTTCCTAGACGAAATTAAATCTTAAAATCTAGTGGTGTTTTCAATCAGAGCTCTCAATCTCTTTTCTATACTTTTTTTGGTTACAAATACTCGCACTAAGAAATAATCAGTTATTTGAAAGTTTACTGAATTTCTGATTTTTCTTGCAAATATTTTCTTACAGATTTTGTCCTTAATACAGTACTGAGTAGCTAAGCTATTAAATTTGCATGATATCTGAGACTAGAATTACTGGGTCTTTACACAAATACTGTATTTAAAACTTTACCTGCACAAAAATAAAAAATATTATTTAATGACCAGTAATTTAGGCTATGATTACAAATCAATCACCAATTAAACTGCAACCTACGCTATTAGAGTATAGATATTAATTAAACTTTCACATTAGGTACTGTACATAACATTTACTTCACACTAAAATACTTACTGAAAGTGTAACTAACTGTAGCTGTACTGTACTGCAATGTCAACTCTACTGACATAACGCAACCTATCAATAGTCACTACTGGTTAATGATTACACCATTGGCAAGTTGGATGGCCGAATGGCTATTAGGAAGGGGCACCGCAAAATACAGCCATAATATCGGCACTGGTTTGAACAGCATGCTCACCTATGGTTCTGCGCTGTGGACAGATGAATGTACGTAACTGGTGCCCGTTTACGAGAAGCTCAGACACGAAGAGACCCTTAGAAGAGAAGCAAGCTAGTCCACAAATTGAGCGCTTTGAGACCATTTCGGTGTGCTGTAAAGTTTCCGTTTCCAAAATGAAGATATTATTTTTATCAAATATTAAACAGCTTAAATTAAACTTAGTATTATACAGCAACCTAAATTATTTATTTATTTATTCAATGGTATACTAATTATATAACTATTTAAACCTAGTTTATGATAGCATTAACATTTGAAACTGAAAGTAAAATTGCAATCTATGTCGGGTAGATCCAAATTATCCGAAGTTTAACAGGAAAGTGCTATGACAGAGTTATCAAAAGTGCAACACTTTAAACAGAACAGAGAATTTATGTTCAGATACAGAGAATCAAGAAAACTGTAATAAGAAAATGGCACAAGCTGAAAAAGATCTTGAGGATGAAGATCTGACCATATTATTAATACAGTTGCAGTAGCATATTGCAAACACCCCCAAAAAGGATGTACAGTAGTTCAGCAATACAATGCATAATTAAATTATGAACATGTTGGACATGGCAGTGTAGTAGTACACAGAACACTCTATTTGAGTGTTCTGTGTACTACACTGCCATGTGTAGTACACAGAACACTCTAATGAGTGTTCTGTGTATACTACACTGCCATGTGTAGTACACAGAACACTCTAATGAGTGTTCTGTGTATACTACACTGCCATGTGTGGTACACAGAACACTCTATTTGAGACAGGCCTTATGTTCATGAAATACAGGTCTCCCTCCAATTAAACATCACCTCCCATTGAATACCTTTTCTGTGGCCAAAAGAAGAAGAATGTCTTTTACCTTTATTAAATTCTATTAGAGCCCAAAGCTGCTAAACACTATATAAACCTTGTTTATATAAACACTATATAAACCTGCTTTCATATTCCTGTATTCAGTGAGCTTTCTAATATTAAAGGACATGTTGTTTGTACAGGTAATTTACTGTAACTACTCTCGCACTTTGGTTGGAAATACATTTGCGATTGACATTCGGATCAATTCTTATTATGAAAATGTTGTTTGGCAATTTGGAAAAACTAAAAAAAAATTTATTTGATAGTATAACATAATAAAAGGGCCTACACTACTATAATAAATGATACATTTCACAAGGCATGCAACTATATTTTAAGGGTCAGTGCACAACTTTTTTCAGTGGTGTATGCAGGATACTGATAAGGGAGGTGCTGAATAGAAACCTCCACACAACTTCATGCAAGGCACAGAACTAGACATGGAGCATTTCAATGGCTTTGACTACATAAAGTTGGTTGTTAAAGTCTAAACTTTCTGGATCTGTATAAATATCTTATACTCCGAAAGAACGAACACAAGCATCACATCATTTATATCCATTAATTTAAAATTATTTTTTTCATTCGAACAAAAGGGGGCACTGTGTTAAAGCTTTTGCCTTTTTTTTCTTTGTCACAAAGAGGCTCTGGACCATCAGAAAAAAACTGGCAACCTAAATGGCTACACCAGAGAAACTACAGTGTTTTCTAGAGTGAACTTTGAGTATCTACATTTGCTTGTTTCGACGGTATAAGTTAACCACAGTGATGCCATAGTTATGAATAAGCGCTTCTTAATTTATGAGGTTGACCCCGACTGTCTGAACGGGATCACCTGATAGAAAACAAGCGTTTCAACCTGCAAGCCAACACTGACAATTGACCGGATTGGCAAGGCTCTCATAATAAAAAAAAGGAATGTAGGCAAAAATGGCCCCAAATAACAAGTAGGTAAAAATGGCCCCAATGAAAAAATTCAGTAATAGAAAAGATCTTTTTTTTCTTATTAATCTTCAAATATTAAAATATTGTAATAGCAAGAATTAAATCAATAAATAAAAAATTGCCCCAATTATAAAATTCAATAAAAAATAAATTTTAAATGCTGTAAAATACCCTGTAAATTTATAAAATAAATTTTATTTTTTCCTTTAAAAATAAGATCAATTTATGTGATTTTTTTTTTTATTTCTCTAAAAGTATTTGTTTTTTAACAAATACAGTTATGGGCCTACACAACAGATGCAAATAATGTACTGAGAGATTATCGGAAAACAATGGCCATTGAATAACATTTTTTGATAGTAGAAATAAAAGTTATAAAAACATTATTCCACTATTTCACATTAGAAGAATGACAAACATACAGTACTTCAACTACCAAAATATGGAACTCATAATAGATAACCACAAAATTCACTTTGTTAAGTATCAAATGAAATAACTTTACATGTTATAAACAATAAAAATAAACAGTAGTTTAAAAGGCATGTGGATCAATTGTGTGTTTGAATCACAAGTTCATGTATGGGAAAAAGAGAGTCTTACTTTCTCACAAACTTAGCAATAAATGTTCTGCTTAGACTTACTTCAAAGAAGTATTTATTAATCATGTTGTTTTTATTAAACTGAATAATAAGGAATACATAGATGTAGTCAGTAGACTGAACATCTACTTGTTTTAAGTATTATACCTTCTTTATGTAATGTCCTTTGTTCTAGAATAGAGTCTTTCTTTGTCTAGTTTTAATTAAAAAACCTTACCATATCCTGTGTCCCTTCCACCCACTGTAGTCAATCCTTTTCACATCTACTTCTATATTGTTAATCCCTTAAACCCACATATGGTTTTTCTTTAATAAGTTGTTCTAACTTTA